GATGGACGGTTTCTTTTCACAAAGATGGCCTCCTTTACTCCTCTCTCAAACCATCGTTCCTCTCTATCCAGGATGTGCACATCTTCATCCCTGAAAGAGTGACCGCTGGCCTGGAGATGAGTGTAGACCGCAGAGTCCTGGCCTGATTATGTTGATCTTCTGTGCTGGGCCATCCTTTTGGCCAGTGGCTGTTTTGTTTCCCCGATGTAAGACTGATCACAGCCCTCCTGACACTGAACAGCATACACAACATTACTCTGTTTGTGCCGGGGGACTGGATCTTTGGGATGAATCAGTCTTTGCCGAACCTTTAGCAGAACCTCTATGAAGCAATAAACTCCCATTTTGATGGCTGAAACCAACAATAATGAGGTTGATGTCAGCGTTACTCCTGGTAAGTACAAGTGGCTTGTATACAAGTTAGCTTAAGCTAGCTCAAGCTGTGTTTAATCGCCACACCATCCAGCTATTTACAGTAACATTTCATAGGGCAATAAAGTTCATTCAGGTACTCTTGAACGTTTTTTTTTTGTGTGTTTTCGGACCTGACAACTTTGTTGGATTTTTTTATTTTACCTGGATCATTGAGCATGAACTTTGATTTCATAGTTCAGTATTTGAGTGCATGTTTATGTAATGAACATATATCTGTCAGATAAAATTCATAATTTAAACGGATTCTTTCATTTTTCTGGACTGAGTTATATCGTGCATTGAATGATTAAATGTGGACGGAAACGTGTTTTAATTTCTGACTCACCAACAACAGTGGGTCGTTTATTAAAACGATTTAAAACAACATCACACATTTACATTAATTGGCAGATTGATTTCAACAACAGCTTAATTAATTAGCTTTACAATGAGAAACCATACGGCCATGGTATCTCTTGCAGCTTTGCAACAGACATTTCTGAAAATATCTGGATTAATTACTGGCAGATAGAAGAGTTTTAAAGATGGGAAATGAGGGAGTTTAAATGGAGAGAGAAGATGTGTGAGGGAAAATGTGTCGACGAAGAACGGCACCCTCCATCCGAACCCAGCTTAATCCACGGTACACTTCGCAGTTGAAGATCGACTTTTTACCTTTCTGAAGATATGTCAGTTCCGGCGTAAAGTTCCACTTCAAGCCACCTTTCAGCGTCTCCGTAAGGATAGCAGAGAACCGTCCGGAGTAGTGACGGTACTTCGTTCAACAGCAGCTCACCTCACGGGTGGACTCACATGAGCTGTGAGTCCGTCAGATGTTCCACTCAGATGTGGAAGATTCCATAATCCCCACGAGACTCGGAACTTTGTTCTGCGTTCTGCGTTCCGAACTGCTTGGAACTAGGAAGTGTTGACCCTTTTAAAGAGGTCACTTCCGGTTCCTCTGAAAACTTCCTGATTGGTTAAAACGAACCAACAGGGGTGTGGTCTTAGTGACGTAAGAGGTCACTAGAAGTCAGAAAAACAAATTAATGTTTAGGAACAGATAGAGAGATGTTTCAAGAACAGACAGAAAGATGTTTTGAAGAAATTAGACTTTTTGGAGCCTGTTCTCCTTCTATCTGTCTGAAAAAGTTAAACATGACATTTCTTTCCAGTAAACATGTTTTTGACCGAAACTTGACTTTTGACCGACGTACTCCTTCTCATTTCAGACAGAGAATCAAAAATGCATCATTACTCTTGTAACCGACATTAACTTGATTTCTACTTTGAATGAGGATTAAAAATCATTTATACTGTTTCACAGTTGATTTAAAATGAGTAGTTCACTTCAACATTTAAAAATGATTTGAACTAAACACACTTTTGATTATCAAGATATTGTAAAATAGTAATGATAATAAAAAAAGAGAGTGTTCTTTCAATTGATCAGTGCAGGACACACTTAGAAAGTCTCTGGATGAACTTAATTTTGTGTTTCTGGACTCAAATCAATGAAATAACAGTTCTTCAATGAAATAACAGTTCTTGTCCCAGGAAGGCCCTCAGGGCCAGATTTTGACCTAAGGCTTAGTTCACTACATTTACATGACTAACATTAAATAAATATGTGAACATAAAAATGATGTATTTGTGTCAAAATGTGTTGTAATGAAATCAACAAAAGCTATGCTTTGTACTCTTGTAAAACTACTTGTTTCTTTTTTAGATGTGAGCTCCTGGCCAGCCCTGTGGCGTGAGAGTGGTGCTACTGAATTTAAAAATAGACATCCTTGGTTAGAATGGAGGGACAAAAAGTTAAGTAAATACCAGCAAACCCTACTGTAAGGTATGGTGAAACATAAGTAAAGATGCTTTGTAAGAGATTTAATCTTTGTGAAATCCAAGCTGTCAGTGGCATGAGAAATTTTATTGAGGACAAAAGCAAGGAGCCTGACAACCTTAAAAACCACTGGTCACTTGCATGCAAACCATTCCATGTAGCACAGCTGTGTGAAAGAGGGTTTAGCTTAATGAACAATGTATGTGCAGATAAAAGGTCTTCTCTGTTATCAAATGCAAGTCATCTCTTGATGATCAGTATAAATGGGCCTCCTGTTAATCGTTTTGAACCAAGGAAGTATGTAACAATATGGTTAAGAAAGCACAGTTCGGTGACATAAAGAAGACTAATGAAACCTAAGCAACCTGTGAACAAACATCCATCCATCCATCCATTATCCTTAATCATGTGAACAGCCAGTGTTGGAGGTCAACAACAAACTGGTTGATCCACTATGAGAAGGGGCAAATTATAAGACAGAGTTTATTGCATCTCCTCAGATTGAAGGTCTTTCGGATGAAAGATAAAACATTTCTACATTTTTTTGTTTTTTGAACCCATCCAGAGGACCTGACTTAACTTTTTTAGATTTTTCTATCTGGATTATTGAGCATGCATCAGGATGTTTTTTTTGTGTGTGTATAATACTTTTGTACTTAAAACTTGATTTTTTTGCTTTGATATTGTATAAATTCTATGTTTTTAATACAAAGCCAACTGCTGTACAAAGTTTGTTGTACATTTATTGAAATATGAGAATGAGAGAAATTTGGAAATGTTCAGTATGCTTAAAAATAAAAATAAATTGACAGTTACATTGTACTAATTGCTATACTTTGGTTTCTAAGAACAGTATAACCACTACAAAAACAGACTACACCATTGGATACAGCACAGGTTGAACAACTGGGAGATAAAGTTAGAGAGGCTAGACTGAGATGGTTTGGACATGTCCAGAGGTGAGTCAGTGGGTATATTGGTAAGGATGTTAGAAATGCAGCTGTCAGGCAAAAGACAAAGAGGAAGGCCAAGATGAGATATATGCATGCAGTTAGAGAGGACATGGAGGCAGTTGGAGTGAGGACAGAGGATGCAGAGGACAGAGTGAGTTGGAGGAGGAGGATTTTGTGTGGTGACCCCTAAATAGGGAAAGTGGAAAGAAAAAGAATAATAAGACTATTTCT